ACCCAGATTGTTGGGGGCAATATGCTGACTCTCTGTAAACCACTTAGAGAGGCCTGAAAGGCCTATGAAGCGGTATATAAGTCTACTGCTATAAATGTCCTTTATACAATACTGATTGTATTATATTTAAATATAATTGTTTATATTGCACACTATCATGGATAATTACAACTTTTTTTTCCTCTTTAGTGTTCTTGCCTGAAGAATTCTGAGAAATTCTAAAGAGCACAATATTTAACTTCAGTAATCTGATAAAGATTTTGCCTTAATGTAGACTTTGAATTTTAAACCCTAACACTGCATAATAATCATATTTGTTTTTTTATGAGAAAAGAAATATGCAACAGAAGAAAAAGACTAAGACATCAAAATTTCAGGATGAAAAAGTTATAGACATATTATGATAGGAGAAAAGCATTTTTATATATTTAGAATACAGGAACAGATTCATGGAGAAAGTTAAAGAACTGTGTATGCAGAATGAAAAAGAATAACAGACAAAAAACTTGTAATTGCAAGAATTATTGTTCTCATGCTTTCTTTTAATTGTACAGAAAGTGAAAATGATTCTGCTGTACATCCCTGCAAAATATTACCTGTCATTAAAACAGGAATGCAAACCAAAGTGCCAAGTAAATACTCTGGGACATAATAGCAAAACCATAAAATAGCAGTTATAGAAGTATAATTATGCTTGAGTTGTGAAGTGGCCTGCAGCACTGAAATGTAAAACACAGACAATAATGAAGGTATACTCGTCCCATTCAGAGTTTTAATGTACTTACTTTCTGATGTGTTAAACACATATAAGGTTTTTTCTTATAAAAATGTATTAATTCATTAATGCAAGGATACTCATTACTTGGCACAAGTACTTAAAAACTCTTCCATCAACATTTTCATCTCAAGAATTTCATTTTATTTCCTCTTTACTCTTCCTCCTTTTCCCCAAATATTAGCAGACATGTACAGTTAATACGCAGTCAACGGAAGTTATAAACACGTAGGCCAATCCTGCCAATCCTTAAAACCAATCCTTAAAACTGTCACGCAAGGCCTGAGCCAAATGAGATGGAACAGCATATAAAGAAGTAAATAATTGGAGATGAGACTGAGGCCACAAAGCACAATAGTTCAGTGGGTTACTCTCACTTATTCTTTCTTAAACTTTTTTTTTAACCTCACGACCCCATTTTAAAAAACTATGGAGGACCCAGGACAGTTTGTACAGGTTATACTTGATATTTACCGTATCAAAAATTAAAATTGATGCATTTCCTGTCATTTCTCACTAATGTTTGATGGGTTTTGGATACTGCATTATATTCCAATGTAGGCTGGCAAATTATTTTATTTTTGCAGATCTCAGAGCTGGCTTGAGGTACGCCCAAAAGCCTCCTAGAATCACACTTTTGAGAAACAGACCCCATAAACGGACAGAATGGCCTTAGCATCCTTGTATAATTTATGTTGATGATTTATTTAGGATTGCTTATTTAGTGTCCATGACTATCCCTAAGTATTGAATCTAATGTTTTATGATGGATGTATTTTTACAATGACTGTGATCATAATAGGGACACAGTGGCTCAGTGGCTAAGACTCTGAGCTTCTCAATCAGAAAGGTTGGCAATTTGAATCCCTAGTGCTGCGTAAGAGTGAGCTCCCGTTATCTGTCCCAACGTCTGCCAACCTAGCAGTTCGAACGCATGTAAAAATGCAAGTAGAAAAATAGGAACCACCTTTGGTGGAAAGATAACAGCTTTCTATGCTTTTAGTCATGCCAGCCACATGACCACAGTGACATCTTCGGAGGATGCTGGCTCTTTGGCTTTGAAATGGAGATGAGCACCGCCCCCTAGAGTCGGGAACGACTAGCACATATGTGGGAGGGGAACCTTTACCTTTACCTTATCATAATCTATCACTATTGTTGTATGTACACTGAGAGCTTATGCACAGGAGACAAATTCCTGTGGGTCTAATCACACTTGGCTAATAAAGAATTCTAATTCTAAAAGGCACAGAAGGGTTTGGAAGTTGTGCGAAGGAGGGAAAGGGTCCAGTATCAAGCGAGGGAACAGAAGCCAAATGGGTTCCTTCTATGACAACCGGACCCAGCCTCTGCCCCCTTGGGAGACCCACACATAGGAGGGCGATGTAAGCACGAGAGAGCAGGCGAGGGAGCGCGGAGGCACCACAGGAGCGGAGGCGAGGGCGGAAAAGGCCCGCCAGCACCCCGCCTGGGGGAATCCCCCCTCAGACCGGCCCGGAGGGGGCGGATCCCAGCCGCCATTTTCTCCCTCCCTTCGAATGCCTTCGCTGCGCCCCCCCCCCTTTCCTCATTGCCCAACATGGCAGTTTCGAGCCAGAAACGGGGGAAAGGCGGGTCCGGCCGGGGATCCGCTGGTTCCCCACCACACCTTCTCCATACCGAACAACCCCCTTCTTTTCCCCCGGCCTTTTCTGAGGAACTCCTTTGAAGGCAACATGGCGGCTTCGAAAACTCCGCTGCGCGAGGCAGCCCGCACTCCATTCCCGCCTCCCTGATAGAAAGCCGGCGCGGAGGTGGGAGGGGGGAGGGAGGGAATTAAAGGGAAGCGCGCACTCACATTCCACTCGGATCCTTCCACTCCGGTCTTTCTAACGGCTCCCGACCTCTCAGTAGTCCCAACGCTACTGGAAAAGCGGAAGTGACGTTTGTGAACAAGCCCCGCCCGCCCCTGGCCCCCCACGTGGGTGGTGAGAAGGAGGCCCGCTCAGCGGCGCTAGAGACGCGCTGCAGGAGGGAGGGCGGCTCGCGTGCTGCGGTTGGTTTATCTTCTTCAGCCGTTTTTCGCTTCGCCCCCTTCATTAAAACGGCCTTTCCTGATAAGGCAACGTCGCGAGGTTCTGAAATTAGTCATCGTACCTTCGGGTATCGTTGGTGGCGTCTTCGTTCACCCCATCTGTAGGATGTGCCTGTACATCGGTACTAAGATCTGTCTTGAGACGTTTGGTTTTTGGATACTGTAAAGGCAGAGCCGCCCTCTGTGAGTTTTTAGGCTCTTAGTTAACAAGCCGACAAATGTCCATCCCTTTGTAGCTGCGTCTTGGGGAAAGAGGGGGCGATAGATTAACAGAATTCGAAGGGACCTTATAGGTCATCTAGTCCAACCCCACCCAACCCCGCTCAAGCAGGAGACCCTGCACCAGTGATGGCGAACCTTTTCTTCACCGAGTGGTGCATGTGCACTTGCTGGAGCGCCCAAAACCCAAAGACCAGCTGCCTGTTGTTTGGCCATTTTTCGTGCTGTTTTCAGGCCAAAAATGGCATGAAAATGGCCCAAAAAATGGCATGAAAACGGTCTGTGTTTTTTGGCTGTTTTTCAAGTCATTTTCAAACCATTTCCTGGCCATTGCCAGAAGAGTAGCTGGCAATGGCACCTGTGCCCACAGAGAGGGCTCTGCGTGCCATCTCTGGCATACACGCCATAGGTTCACCATCATAGCCCTACACCATTTCTGACAAATGGCAGTCCAATCTCTTCTTGAAAATCTCAAGTGATGAAGTTCCCACAACTCCCGAAGGCAAGCTGTTCCATTGGTTGATTGCTCCCACTGTCAGAAAGTTTCTCCGTATTTCTAGGTTGAATCTCTCCTTGGTTAGTTTCCATCCATTATTCCTTGTCTGGCCTTCAGTTGCTCTGGAAAATAGCTTGACTCCTTCCTCTCTGCGGCAGCCCCTCAAATACTGCTATCATGTCTCCCCTGGTCCTTCTCTTCAGTAGACTTCACAATACCTGCACCGGCAGAGTTTCCACATTGTTGGCTGTGTATTGAATAAAGCACTGGGCTTAAAGTGCACTTGGAGACTTAGTACAATATGTGAACTGGCCATTTTCTAGCAAATATATCTAATTATACTATTACCTTACAATTTTCTATGACTAATTCCAGAGCCTTTCAGACTATGTATATAATTCTAGTGGTGTCTAAAGGCTGTTAAGCACAATCTTCATCCTAGAGTTTTCCTGCATGTTCAGAGTCCTCTTTTCAGTTCAAAAAATCCCATTTCACACAATCAAATGCTGTAACCTGGTCCAACTTGGATGGCTTTCAGGTCTGCACTGTGTGCCAGCCACCTTTGCTTTGGTCTTCTGCGCAGGCATTTGCCATCAGTGTTAAAAGTGGTAGGCGGTGCAAGCAATAATGAAATGCTGCTCCTAGAATGTAGCCCATAGGACTGTAGGTGCTTTTCCCACCTTTTCTTTGTTATTGATACAATATTCATCTGCTGCAGGAGTATATCATTGCAGATGTGATCAAGTAATGTTCAATGACCAATGAAGCATGCTTATCTCTGTGGCATATAAAACACAATTAGTTTACTTGATTTTGTGGCTTGTAAACCACTTTGTAAAAAATAGTGTTTGTATTAGAAGAATTAATCAGAATCCAGAATAAAATAAAGGGTCATAATTGCTAATCAGAATTGTACTATTTTTCATGGAAAATTAACAGGCCATCAATCCAAACTATGGTCCAGCTTTTCTCTCTCAAGGATGAGAAACTGAATATACAGGACATTTATCATTTGAGTCGTTGTGTGACTGACCTATGCTCCAAAAAGTAGAACCAGCAACCATGTCAGGTGTTGGAACCTGTAAAGGAACCAGCTGGCTTTTGGGCCTAAAGTGGGACTATAACTTACAGACTCCTGGTTGGTCACTAGACCATTATATTAACCACTAGATCAAACTAGTTCTTTGTAAATGGTTTCAGTGCTGAAAGTTAAGCTTCCATGCAGAAATTATTGTTGAAAAATACATAGCATTATTGCTATGCTACTGGCACATGCTAAAATTAGAATGTAGAAATAGTATAACATAATAAATAACATGAAGTAATAAAGTGAGATCTGCTAATAGCATATTTATTCATTTGACATATTTGTCATAGAAACATGCTTTTAACTGGGCCATTTCCCTAGCGCACCATTTGTTAAAAGTGTGGTCCTAGGACTCTCTTACAGGTCCATGAATTCAGAATTATTTGCCAGACGATGTTGAAAAATAATGCAGTATTAAAATCCTCTCAAACAATTGTGAGAAGTAGTGGTGGGTGGCAGAGGATTGATAAATGCAAGCCATACAAACAAAAGCTCTTCTAAGGTCCTCCACATTTTTTAACAGTGAGAATTGATCATAACTTGTTCAGAACATCAGGAATATCATGAGCCACATTTTAGTGAATCCTCTAAAGCAGGGGTCCCCAACCTGTGGGCCACAGCCGACTACTAGGGTGTGGCCTGTTTGCAACCCACTCATGCAGCCCAGTTTCCTCTCCCCACCACCAGCCGAGCCACCAAGGTTAGGGACCACAAAGGTTAGGGAACGCTGCCCTAAAGAAAGACCTGTTTTTAAAAAAATACTCTCTAAACCTATCCCAGCTGCACATAGTTACAACCATTCATTTAGTGACCATTTGAATTTACAACAACATTGAATAAAGGGACAACTGGTGTTCATACTGACAACCACTGCAGCATCCCTGTGGTCACATGATCCAAATTAGGTCACTTGGCAGTCTATGAACTTACTTTGTGATTTTCCCAGCTGGCTTCCAACAAGTAAAGTAAATGAAGGTAGCTAGATTTAATTAATGACCATGTGATTCACTTAACAAACAGGGTGATTCACTTAATAATTGTGGTAAAAAAGTTCATAAAATTGAAAAATCATTTAAGAACTGTCTCTCTTAGCAACGGATGCTCCAGTCCCAATTGTGGTTTAAGTTGAGGACTATGTATATGGTACAGCCCTAGCCAATCCTTGCAATCCTGGATGTTAAGGGTGGCCCTCCTGCTGCTGAAAGGATGCTCGTCACAGATTAAGAGCAATTGTTTTCAGAATCCAGTATAAATTAATTATACTCAACTCGCTGACACCTCTTTAAAAACTGATTATAAGTGTAAGGAATGCTGTATATAAATCTATTATAGTTTATTCCCCTCCAAACTTAATTAATGTGGCTTGGTTGAGGCTTAGAATGTTGCAAGAATGTCACCATTTATATAACCAATCATTTAAGGCGTTATCCAACCCAGTCATTTTTAATCATGTTTCAACAAGCTATGACAATACAATATGCGAAAACAGCGATAGATAATATAGATATCATGCATCCGCAAGACATTTTTCTTCAGATAATCCGCTTGGATGCGGAGAGGTAATTACACATAATAAAAACTACATTTCCCAGGTGGCTTCACGCCTCCACGCTACGACCTAGCGTAAGTAACCCGGCGGACGAACTACATTTCCCGCCGGTCTTTTCTCGCCTGTCCCAAGCGGCGCATGCGCTGCGACGAGGCCTGGCTCCTTCACAACGCCGTTGGAACCGCGTCGGTGGATGGTGCGAACGGGTGCTTGGCGAGGCGGCTAAGCGATCGCGCGCGACGGCCAAAGACTGTGACCGATAGACCGAGACCGTTTTCACCCCCGCCGCCATTTCGGTCAGCCCGGCTCCATGATTCCCATATGCCCGGTAGTCTCTTTCACCTATGGTGAGTAACGGCTTCGGGCAAGCCGGGGGAGGGGAAGGCCGGGGGGAGGGGAACGAACGCGTCGTTTCAGGAATGGTTTCTAACGAGGTCTTTTTCGCTCCCCTCCTGCACGCCATGTCGTCGCTTGCAGTGCCCAGCCGGCTGGGGGAAGATGCCAAAATGGCCACCGGCAACTACTTCGGATTCACCCACACCGGGGCCGCCGCTCAATATAGGTAAAAGGCGCTTCGGGTCTGTGGCGGGGAGGCCTGGGGAGAGAAAGGCGGCTGACCCCGCCCCAGCCTCATGTGGGGCTGTTGGTGCTGGGCGCGCGAGAGGCCGCGCGGAAGGCGCAGGCGCCCCAGAGAAGCGGGCAGGTTGGCTGCCTCCGTCGCGCGCGACCGGTCGTCCTCGCCGGCACGTTTCGGCGCCCCCCCTTCCCTCTCCCTCCCCCAAACTCAGGATTTGGGGACCGTTACTCACCACCCCCGCTCTCATTCAGTCGTCCCCCAGCAGGGAATGCAGCACAGCCGAGGCTGTGGGGGGGACTCCCGTCGCTCAATCGCACCCCACGTCCCTGTAGCCCTTGAGCCGCTTTAATGGCGACGGGCTTCCGACCCGAAGGCGCTTTGCTCAAGTTCTCCCAAAGTGCGTTTCTTTTGAAGGTCAAGGGTCCTCGGTGCCTTTTTGGTGTCTACCTTAAATGGCTTTCCCGATTTCAACCAATCTCATAGAATAGACATTGAATTAAATTGAATTCTTCACTGGCCAAGTGTGAATTGGACACACAAGGAATTTGTCTTCAATGCATAAGCTCTTAGTGTACATAAAAAGACAAGATACATTCGTCAAGAATCATAAGGTACAATTGTACATATGTTGTAGACTGACAAATAATAATAATAATAATAATAATAATAATAATACAATAATTATTATTATTGTTATTATTTATATATGACCCTTAATACTAGCAAGTGACTGGTGAATGATCTTAGAAATAAAAACAAATTACCACCATGAATACAAAAATTGAAATATGCAGTCCTTGGAGCTACCACCTCAGACCACCTAGCAGTAAAACAATTGAGGAACTACAAGGAGAAAGCAACACCACCCACCCACGCCAATCACAGATGGGGCGAGCTACTTTATTTAAATGGACCAAATCCTACTTGTAGTTCTGAAAATGTTATTTAGCTGGGTAAGGAAACGTCTGCATGGGGGAAAAAACCAAGCTCCAAGAGCACTGAAGACTCCACAACTCAATCTTGAGCTGTGGATCTTTTTGTTCTTAACATGAAAATACACCGTATAAAATCATTGTTTCTTATAACCTTCAGGAAGAATACAATACAAAACCAAAGTTCTGTACTTTGAAAGGTAGTCCATCCATGTCTGTGCTGAATTAACTTTCAACAAGTTAACTGAATTCAGCCCACCCCCAAAATAAAATTTTTGGTCTTATAAATTATAAAAGTTTTAAAGATATTTTGGAAAGACAGCTTTTTATTTGAAATAGTGTGGGACTGGAATATCATACTTTTTCTTCCATGTACATTTTATTTATTTATATATTTATATATTTATATATTTATAAATATATATATCGGTAAGTAGTCAGTTAAAGCATTTTGTACATTTATAAATATCTCCATACTTAAAGTCTTAAATCACAAAAGGAGAGGGGAGGGCTTCTTAGAAATGGGCCTTGCACCATTTTTATGAAAGCTAGGCAAGCTGATGAATGCAGCGTTTATTAACTACTACTCATTTCTCCTTTTGATAACTGGCATTGTAAAATGATGGTAACATACTTTGTTTATTTATTTATTTATTTATCATATTTATATAGGTGCCGATCTCATCAAAGGTGACTCTGGGTGAGGCAAAACAATCATATTATGCCTATCCTTTGGAACCTGTGGTGATTGCAGGATAATTTATTTTCCTGTTAGATTTATAATAATGGTGGCAATGTTTTACAATACAAGTGGTATTACCAAGTTCACAATGTTTCATGCTCAAAACACACGTGGTATGGTCAGAATACTAATATCAGACCAGACCATTTTAAGCTTCAGCCATTTTGAATATGAACTATTTTGTATACATTTCACAAAAACTCAAAAGGGATTGGGATGAGAAGTATCAACTGGTATGAAGTCAGCAATCAGCTCAGTTATTGAATCAGGACTTGAAGTCAAGCCCTTCTAGTCTAATTTCTTAAGCTCTATACTACCATGTGTATATCCACAGAATTAAAAACCTAGCCATTTCTTTTTCATATGGTTTATGCATTTTATTTATTATTTTGACTTGGCATGTGACCCAATAAACCTCACTGCATTCATTTGAAATAAACCTCAGAACTGACCTTCAGCATTTAGCAGATTTTTTAATCTCATGTGTAGTTTAATTCATCAGTTATTTATCAATTATTTACTTAGCTTTCCTCATTTGGTTTTTCTGAAAGATGTAGCTATATTTTGCTGCCCATATCTAAAGACATACATACATGAATATCTTTATAAAGAGCAACATTTCATTGTTTAAATCTCATATAAACAGAGATAGGTAAAATAGAGAAGCAAAGCAGAAAATACAAAATAAGAAAAAATCTTAATTTAATTCAGTGTCATTTAAAAGCAAATAATTAAAATAACTGAAATTTGTTAAAAATAACACATTAACATGCATAATCAGTAAAACACTTGGCATAAGTATATAGTTTCATAATAGTTATTTTAGAAAGAAAAGGGCAGTATTTTTTCTCCCTCTCCATTGAGATTCACTGAATTGTATGAGCAATTGCTAAGGTGAAGCCTGAAACTGAATGACTTCTAGAGACCCAAGAAATTATAGTAACTTATATATTAAAATCTGATATACACAGTAAAAGAAAAGTATCTAAATAATCTTTAACATGCAGTGTGGTGGTCAGTCTCTCTCCTGCGCTTAACAATAGGGCGTTTTATTAGGAAAAATTCTGGACCATGTAGTCAGATGAAAGTATGATTTTAAGTTATAGTTGGATAAATACAATGATAGCATTAGAAATTTCACCTTAGTTCATAAAGTTTTCTTCATGTACATTTGAATATATTTTTAAATTTTGAATTTGAGGTAAATTAAAAGAATTTAATTAAAATAATTTGTAAGTTTTTTTAACTGAATGTTGACAAAACTTTACATTTTTTGTTTTATGGATTTTACAACACTTTTACTTCTAATATAAGATTTAGAAGTAAAAGTGTTAAATAGTATTTATCAGTTGATCCTGGGAATATTTACAGTAAACATGTTTTATTTATTTATTTGCTTACTTACGTTTATGTTTAGTTTACGTTTACTCCGCATGTTTTACTCCAGACTGTATGTTTTTAGCTAAAAATAATCTGAGTCTGAAAACAGCTTTTGTTCACACAGAGGATTGTTCATTATGCAATAAGATAATCCTTTGCTAATTAGTAATAAACAAATATGTGTTAATCTCTGTAGTAATTTCTTCTGGTTGCTTGCTGTAATTATCAACTACTATTAAAATAACTAGGAAATCATTTGGTTAAAATAAACAAAAAGTTGATATGTTAACTGTTTTCCTGATTTATTACTCACTTAACAAATTGAAATTTATTCTTCGGTTATGATTCTTGGCTTGCTGCGAAGTGACAAACTAGAAATTTATCTTTGGATGTAAAGCTACTTGATAATTAATACTTTGGCTTAGCTGCTTCTAGTGCAGCAACTATTGAGCAATATATCTTTCTTGGCTGGTATTCATTAGTCTTAATTATGGCATATTATTGAATTCAAACTGACCAAAAATAGATCCTGGATTTTTGTTTGATTTCCTCTTTGCTTTAAAATTTTGTTTTTCATGGCCGCCTGAAAGGCTTTGGAAGAAAGGACAAAAAAGCTATGTGTTCAAAGAACATTCTGCACATGTCTTTGAATTCTGGTATTAAAATTGGAATGCTGCCTTTATTTCTGAAAAATAATATGGAAAACTTTCAATATACTTCCTTTGATTTGGTTTCTGGTTTCTATCACAGAAAAGGAAGAAAGTTCTTTAGAATTCTGTAGGAATTGGAGACTTGCATTTTAGAGTACATGAATATTCTGTTCCATGTATAAGAATCCAGTGGATATTTTTTCCAATCAATAAATTAAAATTTGATTTTCAGGTTGGCAAAACTTCACAATGCATGTTTCATTTCACCCAAAATTCTTTTTCCAGTTCCATAATTATTAGAAAATTGCTATTGTTAATAGATTTTCCTTGTCATGTAATGATATGCTGACAGTTTAATCAACTCAATCCCTCGTTAGATAGTCCTTTACTTACAACCAATCATTTAATGATCGTTCAGATTTACAATGTAATAAAGTATGTGTCATAAAACATTGCATTGACCCTTCTCCCCTTTGTGGTCATGTGATCATGAACTGGGTGCTTGGCAACGTGTTTGCACTTGCAACCAGTTTCCAAGCGCCCCACAATCTTGTGATCGCCATTATAGTCTTCTCTGCTAGCTTCCTCAGAAAGTCAGTGGGGAACCTGGCAAGAAAGGTTGCAAGCAGCTGCTGCCTGCTGAAGAATTTCCCCTCCTGTCCATGCATGGTGAGGGGGATTGGACATGTATGGAAAGAAACATGTGTGCTGGGCTGGAGAAACAAAGCTTGCATCTTTGCAATTCCTGCATTATTTGTCCAACCCAGTGGACAAGTTCTCTTCCATTCACAGCAGGGAAGGGAACTTCTCGGAAGGATTGCAGAAACAGATCAGGTCCCCTGCATCAGAGCCCTGTCTCTGCATCTCCTCAAAGGAGTTCTTCTCTGCACAAGGAGGTAAGGGGAACTCCTTCAAACGGCTGCACAAATGAAGCTTAGCTCCTGAAGATTTGAGCTTCATTTCTGCAGCCTGCTGTAGGCATTTCTTCCCGTAGGGAGGGCAAAAAGAAATGCAGGCAGTTCTTTTGTTTTGTTGTTTAACAGCTGTAACTGGAAAAGCTGGAATTGTGTCTATTGAGTGAAGTTGTTATACAAGCATCTCGCTTAACAACTGCATTGTCAAAGACTGAGATTCTGGTTCCAATTTTCATAAGTCAAGGACAGCTTGTATATTCTGAATTTTGCACTCAGTAGAAAACAATTATTTAGGGTTTTTTTGTTTCTCAGATTGGTTCTAATTTGAATTTCTCAGAATTACTTAGAAACCCTAGGGGGGAAAAATAGATGACAATTCTTCATGCAATTAAAGCAGAGTAGGAATTACATTCAGTAGCGCGAGATAGGCAGCCTTCTTGGGGTAATATAAAATGGCTGCTGGAGGGAAAGAGTTTGAATGTTTGGTAGGACCCTTTCTGGGAAGAAAAAATGTTTTAAGAGCCTACTTACTCCCACACAGAACATTTCACATTATGTAACAATTCATTCTTGTGTTTTGTCTTATGCTGAAGGAAAAAGGGAAGATTCAAGGTCCTGTGATCCCACAATTGGCTTGTTTGTTTGCTTTTACATTCTTACAGCATGGTGATACAGTGCATTAGCCATTGACACCCCAGGCTCTCGTTCCATCTCTGCTTCCCCGTAGGTCGAGGGGAAAGATAATTAAACAGATTTTCAAAGACTAAGAAACATGTTAGATTTTTTTTTTAAAGTCTGTTTGGTAGCTAGATTTATTGTTGCTTTAAATTTGTTCCTGTTCCTACATTATATATAGTACTTTATTTGCCATACAAGAACTCAAAATGCAAAATTATTAGACCTCAAATAATGCAGGAAGTTAATTTAATTATTGCTGTATTCTTCCTGAATTGTGTTTAAGTAAATAAATTGTTGCTTTACTGGATTCATTGTTAAGAATTGTATTTCTATAGGTAGCTGAGGATGAAAAAAAGCACACTTTGTTGTTACTATTTGTGGATTTTCTGGGTAAAATCATATTGCTTGCAAACAGTATCAGTTTTCCCCTGGGTCATGGTGATTTAAGAGTAGTTTGCAATTTTTTAAAGATTAGTTTACAAGACTATGTTTAAATACAGATAGTCCTTGCTAATTGGGACCAGAAGATGTAACTGAATGTGAGACTGTCATTGAGGTTGGTCGGGGGGGGGGGGGGGAACACGCTGAATAGAGAACTGATCAGATAAAAGGGAGAAGAGTCTGCAATTGAATAATTGGTAGAGAAAGAAACTTAGAAACATCTACCTCAACTATTCCAATAGGTAAAAAGAAACAGCAGCAGATTTGTACTTTCAAGACTTGCAAGATTCTGTAATGTAGCCTTATGGCAAAGAAGAATTAGCTCATTTTGTCATGTTTCCTGCCTGATCTACTTGGGAGACTGACTGAAACGCCATTGTTAGGTGACACATCATAATTTTAAAAACCACATGACAATGCTGCTTAGCAATAGCAATTTTGGCAGTCTCCCTTAGTATTGTTAAGCAAGGACCTTGCATGATTACAACCTGCAGCTTCCTGCTGGATTCCCCATTCCCCTCACTTCTTGAAAGCCAACAAGGAAGGTCACAAATTGCCTGTTTAGGAATAAACATTTTATTTCAAACAATTGTATTCAGTGATACAGTGATATATTTCTAACTGCTAATAGCAATTTAAGGCATCTTCTGTATAGCAATCTGCAAATAACTTGGCCCCATGCCATGCCTTAAAGTAACTACCAGTAACTAGAATTGAACCTAGAGGCGTATTTGTAGCCACCATAAGATACAGAACTATCAGGAACACTTGTGAATCAGTTAATCAAATGCTGCAGTTGCCTTGCATATCTTAACTTAAAAGACAGAATATATAAATAGCCTATAATTTTATTAAATAATTTTGTCCCTTTGTTTTTTGGAAAGATATTTTAAAAACAAAAACAAACTAAATCTTTATATTTCAATGTAGGTTTTGTACAAAGACAGTAAGTCTGTGCAGTTTTCATAATTCATAAATTTCATCAGAATACAGTTGGTCCTCATTTAGCTGCTTTCTCATATAGCAACAATTCACAATTATGATAGTGATGAAAATATAACTTTGCAACCAACAAAGGTCATTTACAACTTTCATAGGCCTACATAGCAAGCAAAATAACTTTGCAACCAATCATTTACGATTTTCATAGGTTTCTAAAGCAAAGGAAAGCTAATTATTAAGCACAGGCATGGTTTCATTTAGCAACCATTTCACTTTATGATCAGGTTTCTGGTCCCAGTTGTGGTATCTAAACAAGAGCTACCTCTAATAATCTAAGAAACAGGTCTGTAGAAAGTAAAGTTTAATTAGAATTCAGCTTTTATCTAGAGAGCACAATTACTTCGAATAATCAAGAGAATAAAATAATTCCCTTTTGTCAGTGCTTCTGTCAATTTAGACGTGTTGCAGGTACAGAGAAAAATATCAACTTTCTTAACAAACTGAGCCCATGTAATATTTGCCTTTACTTATTTATACAGTTTATAGGCTGCCCAACAGCTCTAATACTTTAATACAAAAGTACAGAAGCAGAGTTGTTCGGCATGGGTAGCCGTAATAATTTAATAAAATGAATAATTAAATAAAAACATTTCTTACACATAAATAGCTCATGGCCAATATATATCATGGTAGAAAATCAGGAAGATAAAGCATAAGTGAAATAGCGAATTCTAAATAGTAGTTCTGGTAAAGACTCTTAGAGTTTTAAGAATTTCAAAGTGAAAGATCTTGCAAATTCGATCACTGGCTCTGCATGATGTTGCAGAAGCAAGGGGAACAGATTTGCTAAAACAAAAATGGTAACAGAACCATACCTGCCTTAGAGAAAAAAACAGTACTAAGGCTACTCATTCTGTGCTATAACAAAACTTATTTTTACTAACTAAAACACTGCAAACATTCTCTTACTGAACTTCTTTGGGTATTATGCATGTTATGCTTAAATACTGTAAAAGGAATATAAAGATATTCTGTGAAGGAGCGTTAGGTGATTCAGCATAATGACTTACTGTATTTTGTGTTTGGTCAGGATCTTTGTACACATTTTTTCTAATGTGACATAGATTGAGATTAAAAGACTAAATGAATTTATATTGTATAGTTCTTGCAAATCTGCTATTCAGAGTTGCCAAGTTTGTTGAGAGGGAAATAAATAAAGAACAGGTTCCTATGTGCAGGATTATTTATTGTATATTTATTATTTATTAGATGTAGATTCTGAAATAACCTGATGGCTTACATAGTTAAAATGAATTAATTGCAAAACTGCATGAATTTCATGTTTCCTGAAATATGTGTCCCTTTCAGCTGTATGATTTATATGTGACTGCTTTTTAGAGGCTATAAAATTAGGCCTTATTAAAAATAACATTTAATTTATGTGAGTTTTACCTGATAAATTGAACCTTTAGAACTTCTGCTCCCCGAATTCAATTCTCTGAAGCTAATTTTAAAAGATAACTAGGAATCAGTTCCTTTGGTAGATGCACTTTCATTAATGGATGCTCATGATATCACTTAATACGTACTTTATTAGGTACAATAGATCCATAATACTGAATTTTTAATTTAACCTTTCTCAGATTTACTTAGACTTGAATAATTTAAGAGCATATTTGCTGGGTATTAAGTTTCATTACTACACAGTGATACTTCTTGGCCTATTCCTATTACAGCCAACAGCCGGCTTCAGGTGTAGCTTACTCCCATCCAACTACAGTTGCAAGCTACACTGTTCATCAGGCTCCTGTTGCTGCCCACACAGTTACTGCAGCCTATGCCCCAGCAGCAGCAACAGTTGCAGTAGCCAGGCCTGCTCCAGTGGCTGTTGCAGCTGCTGCAACAGCTGCAGCCTATGGAGGATACCCTACAGCTCATACAGCAACTGATTATGGTTACACACAGAGACAGCAGGAAGCACCTCCACCGCCTCCACCAGTCACTACACAGAATTACCAGGTAAATATATATATATATGGCTAAAGTATCATTCACTAATGGTGCAGTTCAATTTTTTGTTTAACCACGATTTATTGAATAACTAAGAATTTACTTGATTTGGCTTTCATGCTGGTATCTGTTTGGGGCAGTATTTGGCGTTAGGGTTTAGTGGCCATGGCCTAGACAACAGATTTCCTGATGTTTTACCAGCAACTACAGCTGCAGTCTTTACAAGCAAGATGGTCTATTATGCAGACCCTAAGCTTTTGAAGTAGGAATTGATTGGACTTCTATCTTTATAGCCAGGTGTCCTGACTTCTGATTGATCTTTAGCCAAGTTGATTTCTGATTGGTGTAAATTGGTGAGGACTGGTGTTTCCCTTAGAAATGTCAGGAAATCTGTTCTCTAGACCACAGTCACTAAACTCTGAAGTCCAACACTGCATAACCAAGAATTGTATTTATACTACATATTAAACTATAGTACTATATTTTATAATTTCAGCAGGGTAAATTCATAAAATGTACAAAGCCCAAACAGTTCTCAGCTTCAGATCTTTTTTATTTCAATGGCTAAATATGTAATATAGATATGCCTGGGAATTTGCATATAGTACATTTCTAATAAGTAACTGGAAAGCATAAACCTCAGAATATCTTTTTTGAGCATATATACTTCACAGGAGAGAAAAGCTGAATTATATATCTATACAAATTTTGTAGGTCACTTATTCTCATTTTGGCTATTGCTGAGATTTTTAAATGTTTTTTGTAGGTTTGGTCTAATATTACCCTTATTTCTGTTCAATATTTATTAAAGTTCTAGCTACCGCAAGTTCATGTATTCAGAAAAATTATAATTTGGGGGAAATGACTTTTTACAGAGTATACATAATTCTCAAAAGGTTTGATCATGTCCTTCAAAACTTTAAACAATTATTTCAATTTGTAGCTTAAAATATTGAAGGATTGGGTATTAAGCAGTCTTAATGGGAATTAATGTTGAAGGTTTTTAATAATGCAGTGAAGTATATCATTACCAGATCTTGAACTCAGTCTTAAATTTACCTTGTCTAATATTTTCAGGAAATGTATACTTTCCCAAAAGTTCTGATCCTTTACTGCATAATCAACATTGATTAAAATAATTAAAATGATTCAGTAGTAATCCGTGGCTTAAATCCTATGATAATTAATGTAATTTAAATTTTATACAAGGACATTTTATCCTTCCCTCTGCGTAATCCTCAAACTATTTAAAAGGCAATGGTTTACTTCTGTTTTTAAAAGCGTAAAATTGGTTTGGAAAATAGTTGAAAGAGGAGAAGTAACCAAATTTAGTCTTGGATTCTAAGTTCATTCCAAAAGGGAAAACTTCCTGTTTTAAGAAGTTTTAGGAGAGTTTCACAAACCTTAGAAGAGTTTTTTTAGGAAGCACATGAGCTTCCAAATGTAAATTCCATTATGGCAGTTAATTTACCTTACAAATGAAATCCAATACAGGGTCTTCATTTTCCCCCCATATATTTCTTTAGGACTCCTATTCCTATGTTAGATCTACTGCTCCAGCTGTAGCTTATGACAGCAAGCAATATTATCAGCAGCCAACTGCAACTGCAGTGGCAGCTGCTGCCCAACCACAGCCTTCTGTGGCTGAATCATACTATCAAACAGGTGAGTTGCAAATCCTTTTGTTTTTATCTTATAATTTTAGATTCTAAAAACCATATAATAGTTTATTGCAAGGATTTGGGACTGAGTCTAATTCCTTCCTTAACCTACTTGGGCACAAGTCTGGGATTAAGACACCTGTGAAGCCTTTGTCATTTTTTTAAAAATATATTGTTGGCTTTTCTGGGTAGTTATGCTTTGTTTTGTTATATTTTTAACTATGTTTTAATTATATATTTGATATTTTGTAAGCACTTGGAAGTTTTGGGGAATTGGGTAGCCTTAACAAATGTGATAAATAGAATAGCACTTAGACTTCAGAGTGCTTTACAGCCTTCCCTAAGCAGTTTACAGAGTCAGCATATTGTCCCCAACAATCTGGGTTCTCATTTTACCAACCTTAGAAGGATGGAATGCTGAGTCAGTCTTGAACTGCTGAGAATCAAACTGTGGGCAGTCAACAGAATTAGCATGCAATACTGCATTCTAACCACTACACCTTCATGTCTCTAATAATACTCGTTTTAGTAGTTCAGTTATTACTTCATTTATTTCTTCACCTTGTATCGCCATATAGCTCATGATGACTCTGAGCCATGAACAAACAAAATAAAAACAATCACTAAAAATACATGTCAAAGGAGCAATACAAATTAGCAGGATGCTAGTCAGTAAACAGCGTTCCGTGTGCCTTTGGTGTTTAGTCATGCCGGCCACATGACCGCAGAGACGTCTTCAAACAGGGCTGATTCTTCCATTTTGAAACAGAGATGGGCACTGCCCCCTAGAGTCAGGAATGACTAGCACATATGTGCGAGGGGAACCTTTACCTAATCAGTATACTATCCTCCTCCTTTAGAAGTATGCTTACTTAACATTCTCTTAGGGCCCAAGTGAGCAGCCGGATTTTAAGAATTTTACAAAAGGCCAGTAGGGTCAGCCTCATCTAAACCTCAGGGGTAAGCTGTTCCACTAGGTGGGAACTATGAAGGAGTAAGGACACTTCCTGAATCCCATCAGATGACATTGCTTGGTAGAAGCAACCAAGAGGATATCAGCACTGTTGTATCTGGTGGTTTCATTTTCCATAGTGCTGAAAGATGTGTTGTGGCTGAAATGGCAGCAGTCACATTACAGTTACATTAGCATTTAAAAAAATATAAATATTCTCAGAACCAAAGTAATAATTTATACCTTCCTCATTCGTAGAAAGAGCACAGTCCTAGACCACTTTTTACTACTTTTAAATTTCCATACATCAAGAAAGCTTGTAACTTCCTTAAGCAGAGCGCATACCCAGAAAAGTTATTCATAATGTTTTTGGGATGAATAGTTAGCAGTCTCTTAATTGACACCTGAGTGAATTTAAAATACGCTGTGACCAAAGTACTTCATTCAGTCTTTTTTTAGAAGATCAGTTCATTAATGTAGTGCTATGCTGATAATTTCCAGCAGGTTTCAAGTTTATTAATATAACTAGTATGTCACCCTAACCTTAAACCAGTATAATGAATCAAATTATATGCCTTGCTAAACAAAAGATGTTTAAGTAAGGTATATTAAAAAGTACTAGTTACAAACTTTATATTCTCTTAGACATTTTGTGATCTGATTGACAAGTACAATAAAATCTTCAGCCACATAAACTTTTAAACTACAGGACATCGGCCTTTTTCTGCAATTGTGTCTGTGCTACTTTGTAGTGGTGGATTTCTTTTTCTGAAAGGTGTGCTAAATGTTATAAAATACATATTTATGGAACCTAAAGATAAAATAAGATTTGTACTCTTATTTTTATTTTAGTTATAAGATAAAAAAGGAAATTGCTTTTTAATATTACAGCTTGGAGAATTCTTGATTTTAACTTTTTTTTTTCTTTCTTTTTTTTTTTTCTTATCTAGCTCCTAAGGCTGGTTACAGCCAAGGAGCTACTCAGTACACTCAAGCCCAGCAAACTCGACAGGTAACAGCCATAAAACCAGCCACTCCAAGTCCAGCCACTACTACGTTCTCTATATATCCGGTATCTTCCACTGTGCAACCAGTTGCTGCTGCAGCGACTGTGGTTCCCTCATATACCCAAAGTGCCACGTATAGTACAACAGCAGTTACATATTCCGGTGAGTAATGCCTAAACAGGACAGGTGTATAAAATGGAGAAGTCAAAGCTATAAAATTTTGGAATGACATATCTGAGTTTTGTAGAAAAACTAGATTTTACATTCAAATTACATTGGAATGTTTATATGGTGTGCAGATTAATTCTGTGCCTATTTACTAAGAAACGAGTTGGATTGTGTCAGGACCTTCCTTGAGATAATTATGGGATTGCAGCTTTTAGATTAGTTTTGGCCCTGATATGACTTGGTAAAAACAAGAAGCCAAATTCAGATTGGCTTATCTTAATCCATAGCAGATATGACATGCATACCTATTAAAAGTTATAGTGGTACACATAATGATGAAAAATGTCTTATTATTTTAGAAATCATCAGAACCATGCAAATTAAATTATTTCTTAATATGGCCAATTAACTCATATAGCACTTAGACTTACATACCTCTTCACAGTGCTTTTACAGCCCTCTGTAGTTTACAGCAGTTTACAGAGTCAGCATATTGCCCCCAACAATCTGGGTCCTCATTTTACCCACCTCAGAAAGATGGGAGGCTGAGTCAATCTTGAGCCTGATGAGATTTGATCTGCCAAACTTCTGGCAGCCGGTGATCAGCAGAAGTAACCTGCAGTACTTGCACTCTTACCATTTTACCAACTCTTATCTAAAAATCTAAATATTATTTAGATTTCATTGTAAATACAATAGAGAGATGGGCTTTGTGGAATTATTTGGTACTGTCGTGGTTCCTGAACGAAATAGTACTGGAAAGAGGATAAGAGGAGGTTAATATATGGATGGAACAGAAAAATCTTGAATCCTTCAGCGATACTCCTTTCATATCTCAGAGCATAAGTAAATTGTCTAGTTGTGTAGATTCAACTCAGTTTTCTCAGAAATGTCTGCAGATTTCCCAGAAATTAAGTCTATATATTTGGAAGATGTATTAATAGATCTTAAAAATTGCATGTCACTATGAAATTAAACTTCATTGTAGCAATGTTTCCCCCACCCCCTGAAATGAGGTTCCCCCAGAAACCTCATTGGTTCCCACCCTGCTATTTGAAGAGCCTTGAAGATGTGGCTCTTCATCCAGGGAGAGTAAAAAACATTTTGTGTCTTTCCTGATCAGTCTGTCATTCTCACCATCTTTTACTTTTTATGTATTAGTTATTCCCCTTGCCTTAGTTGCTATGAGTGACCCAAGGTCATTGAAAGTCATGTGGCTTACAAATTTTGATAAGTAAATTACCAACTTTTTGTGTACTATATTAATGTTGAAACATTCTTTTAAAGATGAAACCTTTCTTAACAAATGCTATGTTCATGCTGAAACCCTCCTTAAAAGATTAATTGTGGGTTGTATCCCACATAAATGTGACCTGAAATTTTTGTTGTTTAAAGGTACATCTTATTCGGGTTATGAAGCTGCAGTGTATTCAGCTGCATCATCTTACTATCAACAGCAGCAGCAACAGCAAAAACAAGTGGCGGCGGCAGCAGCTGCTGCAGCTGCAACAGCTGCCTGGACAGGAACCACCTTTACTAAAAAGGCACCATTCCAAAATAAACAGTTGAAACCAAAACAGCCTCCCAAACCACCACAGATCCACTATTGTGATGTTTGTAAGATCAGCTGTGCTGGACCACAGGTATCAGTAAAAAAAATTCATTGAACTTTAAATGAAACTATATCCATATTGGAAGTATTCAAGAAGGTTTAAGAAGTTACAGTTTTAAGGGGTCTCAGTTGCAATAAATTACGATTTTTCTCTTTAGCACAAATAGTAATTGTATTCAAGGCATATTATATTCAAATCTGAAAAATTTCATCAGGCTTGCTGCATCTACACCATGGGACTTGTTGAGATACAGAACACAATGTGCACTAGTCTGGAATGCTTTTGTTTAAGCAGAATCTGTTATTAAAACTTAGATTAAGCTCCGATTTCATTGCAGGATGAAATCTGCAATGTACTGCAGTTAGGACTGCAGGATTATAGTTTTGATGGGTTCCCAGACACTGTATTTTGATCAAAGCAGCTTCTCTAGTTTATATTTCAAAACTGAAGGAAGCAAGAGAAATAAACTGTCCAAAGTTGTGTTCTTTATAGCAGATGCCAGTCTAAATTGTATCAAATTTCTTGCTGGATATTGCAACGAGGGCATAACTTTAAAAAAAAAACCTGAAGAATGCAGTCCCTTGTAATCACAGGCTTGTTTAAACAGGAACCTGCTTAAAGAGGCATTGGAGAACATCTAATGGAAACAAATTAAGAGAAAGGACTTATAAGTAATGCATAGGAAACCTGAGCATAAGTGGTCATACATATCCTGCATCATGCTTTCCATTGTCCTTTTTGCCGCTAGAGATCAAAAATACAAGGGAAACTTCCACATACAGCATGTGCTCCAAATTATCTACATGCCTCCTACAAACAAATATTAAGATTTCTACCAGTTGTCTTTGAAATTGCCCAGAAGAACAACAAATTGTTATGACATGCATCAAGATTATATGGAAATGTTATACTGCCTGGTATCTGTATCCGTTAATTGCAAGATAATTGCTTCCATAAATAAATAAGTAAATAAATAAATAAATAAATATAATTTGGTTCCTTCTAAATTAATTTCATGTCCTGTTGCTTTAAGGTGCTGGAAAAGGGAGGAAGTTTTTTTCTTTTTTTCTGACTCTGTTCTTGTATTCTACAATGCATGCATTTATTCTCCTATTAGTTTGTCCAATGTATGTGGGATGGCAGATTTTGCATGGTATTTTGTAGACTCCTTGGTTTTCTAGCTCCCTTTTCCAGCACCTTAAAGCAGGGGTAGTCAACCTTTTTATACCTACCGCCAATACCAAATTGGCTCTCATATAAAATGTACTGCA